CATGTTCACTGCAGCATTATTTTTTATTTATTTTTTGTGTGTGTGAGGTAGATCAGCCCTGAGCTAACATCCAATGCCAATCCTCCTCTTTTTTGCTGAGGAAGATTGGCCCTAGGCTAACATCCGTGCCCTTCTTCCTCCACTTTATATGGGACGCCGCCACTGCATGGCTTCGCAAGTTCGGATCCTGCAAACTCCAGGCTGCCAAAGCAGAGCATGTGCACTTAACCACTGCGCCACCAGGCTGGACCCAGTGCAGCCTTATTTACAAGAGCCAAGACGTGGAAGCAACCTAAGTGTCCATCAACAGATAAATGGATTTAAAATATGTGGTATGTATGTATATATAAAAATATATATATAGGGTGTATATATATAAAGATATTAAGCCCTCATATATCAATAATCACTCTAAATGTAAACAGACTGAATTCTCCAATCAAAAACACAGAGTGGCTGGATGGATCAAAAAACAAGATCCAACAATATGCTGCCTCCATGAAGCACATCTCAGCTCTAAAGACAAACACAGACTCAGTGAAGGGATGGAAGACAATATTCCAAGCAAATGGCAAGCAAAAGAAAGCAGGTGTTGCCATACTTATATCAGACAAAGCAGACTTCAAGATAAAAAAGGCAGTGAGCAATAAAGAGGGGCACCATACAATGATAAAAGGGACATTTCACCAAGAGGACATAACACTTATGAATATATATGTACCCAACACAGGAGCACCAAAGTATATAAAACTATTAACAGACATAAGGGAGAAATGAACAGCAACACAATAATAGTAGGGGACCTCAACACCCCACTTACATCCTTACAAGGAAACAGTGGAGTTAAATGAAAAACTAGACCAGATGCACTTAATAGATATATATAGAACATTCCATCCAAAAACAGCAGAATACACATTCTTCTCAAGTGCACATGGAACATTCTCAAAGATAGACCATATGTTGGGAAACAAGGCAAGTCTCAATAAATTTAAGAAGACTGAAATAATATCAAGCATCTTTTCTGACCACAATGCTATGAAACTAGAAAACAACTACAAGAAAAAAGCTGAGAAAGTCACAAATATATGGAAACTAAACAACATGCTACTGAACAACCATTGGATCAATGAAGAATCAAAGGAGAAATAAAAAAATAGGAGACAAATGAAAATGAAAATACATCACACCAACTCTTACAGAATGCAGCAAAAGCAGTCCTAAGAGGGAAATTCATAGCAATACAGGCCCACCTTAACAAACCAGAAAAATCTCAAATAAGTAATTTTAAACTATACCTAACAGACCTAGAAAAACACGAAGATACAAAGCCCAAAGTCAGCAGAAGGAGGGAAATAATAAAAATTAGAGCAGAAATAAATGAAATAGAGACAAAAAAAAACAGTAGAAAGGATCAATGAAACTAAGAGCTGGTTCCTTCAGAAGATAAACAAAACTGACAAACCATCAGCCAAACTCACTAAGAAAAAAAGACAGAAGGCTCAAATAAATAAAATACAAAGGATTATAAGAGAATACTATGAAAAACTATATGCCAACAAATTAGATAACCTAGAAGAAATGGATCAATTCTTAGACTCATACAACCTCCCAAAACTAAACCAAGAAGAAATAGAGAATCTGAGTAGACCAATCACAAGTAAAGAGATTTAAACAGTAATCAAAAACCTCCCAAAAAACGAAAAGTCCAGGACCAGATGGCTTCTCTGGAGAATTCTACCAAACATTCAAAGAAGATTTAATACCTATCCTTCTCAAACTAGTATAAAAAAATTGAAGAAGACGAAATGTTTCCTAACTCACTCTATGAGGCTAACATCACCCTGATACCAAAACCAGACAAGGACAACACAAAGAAGGAAAATTACAGGCCAATATTGCTAATGAACATAGATGAAGAAATTCTCAACAAAACATTGGCAAATCGAATACGGCAATACACTAAAAGGATCATACACCATGATCAAGTGGGATTTATACCAGGGACGAAGAGAGGGTTCAACATCCACAAATCAATCGATGATACACCACATTAACCAAATGAGGAATAAAAATCACATCATTATCTCAGTAGATGCGGAGAAGCATTTGACAAGATCCAACATCCATTTATGATAAAAACTCTCAATAAAATGGGTATAGAAGGAAAGTACCTCTGGGGCTGGCCCTAGGCATAGCAGTTAAGTTTGCGCACTCTGCTTCGGCGGCCCAGGGTTCGCTGGTTCGGATCCTGGGCGCAGACCTACGCACCATTCATCAAGCCATGCTGAGGCAGCATCCCACAAAGAGCAACTAGAAGGATGTACAACTATATCATATAACTATCTACTGGGGCTTTGGGGAGGAAGGAGGAAAGATTGGCAACAGATGTTAGCACAGGGCTGATCTCCTCAAACACAAAAAAATAAATAAATAAAATAAAGTTATTAAAAAAAAAAGACAACGGAGCAAAATTGCAATGGCATTTTTGGGGAGCTCAACAAAAAGATTCTGAAATTAATCTGGAAAATAAATGTGAAAATAGTTATAGGAAAGATAAAGGAAGACAGTGGAAATAAGAGCAAGGAGGAAGGACTTGCCTTACCAATATTAAAATACATTACTAAGTCATAATAAATTTTAAAAAGTGTGTAACATACACAGCATTTAACAGATAGATCAAACCAGAAATAAACATAAGGAAAAAAAAAAGAAGGGATGAAGCAATGTCAAAAGCAAATTTGGGGCTTGCCCAAAAGTTATAAATAAGGTAAAAAAGATACAGTGATGGTGTAGGAAACGGTTGTTTACTCACACACAGGAAGAAAAAGTGGAAAAGTTCAGAAATAAGGTGTATTGAAATAGAGCATTACTATGAGAACACCCAAAGAGTTAAATTCAAATAAGGAAATAGTCTTATTGCGAAAGAATATATGAATGTAGATAAAGATTATACCAAAAAATAAAAGAAAAAGACAATGGAGCAATGCTTTTAAAATTCTGAGGGAAAATTATCTCCAACCTAGAATTTTATGCCCAATCAAACTAACGTAAAATAAAGCCATTTCAAACATGTAAGATCCAAAAACATTTCCTGCAACGTACCATTCCTCAGGAAAATACTGGAAGACATGCTCTACACCAAAACAAGAGAGTAAACCAAGAAGGAAATAGTCATGGGATCTGAGCTGAAAAAGATCTGCGGAAAAAGGGAAAGGGACTCGTCATTGCAATGAAGGGGAACCCCAAGACAGTGGTTGTCCAGCCAGCCTGGGGAGCAACCAGTCCAAATGGAAGCCAGTCAGGTTCTAACAGAGGTTTCTAAGATGATACTGAGTTCTGTGGGGATGGGTCATTAAATGAATTACTGAGCACTTAACAGCAACATATGAAACTTAACGTTATTTGGCAAACCGTAGTTGGCTCACTACCTTTTGAGAAGGATGTGAACCATTTCTGGTCCATTCCTGATGAGGATAAAAGCTTGCTGCATTTCTCAAGACTGAGCACTTCTTACCTCCAGGAAAATAACTGCTCTTCTGTGGTTTCCAGTGGTTCATCAGAACATAAAGGGCACAGGGGAAGAAAGGTGGCAGAACCCCAAGTCTGTAACCATTGCAAGGGTACAAGGGAGGAGTAAGATGTGCAGAGCTCCACCCCTGACAGCCATGGTCACGCTCTCTATGGCTGACTGCTTGGGCACTGCAGCTGGACTAAGCACAGGATCACAAACACCCCAGGGTTCATGGTGTGATATAATGGGGTGATGCCTCACATAGGACTTCTTACTATCTTGGAGAACAGGAGCTCAAAGCTAGATCGTTTGATTTACATAATCCCAGAAATACGATTTTCAGGGGGAGGGGGAGGGAGGATGAAAATGACAAAATACCTAGTGTTTGCATGTACAGTAAGATTACACAAGTGGGTGTGAATTTGAAGTTGAATTAGTGGTAAGTATATAATATAAAAGTAAGTATATAGTATAAAGGTAAAACTTTAATAAAAATAAAATAAATCTCAATAAATGGAAAGACATACCATATTTGTGACCAGGAAGACTCATTGAATACTCTCCCCAGTCAATGTCAATTGACTTTTTTTCTTATTTTCACTAAATTATTCCAAGGATCACATGAAGGAGTAAGTGGGTGGCATTCACTATGAAAATTCTGAAAACAGAATTCCTTGACAAATATTAAAACCTAATAAAATTACAATAATTAAAACAGTGTCACATTGGTTTTAACCAGCGGATCAAAACGAACTATTCAGAAATAAATCCAAGTATTTTTATCATATGATAAAGGTAGTGATCTAAAGAAAAATGTTTTTCGATAAATTGTGTAATAGTACCAAGACAATCATGATGATCCCAACACCACACCAAGATAAATTCCGTAAGGTTTAGAACATTGGAAAAAATAAAACATAAAATAAGCAGACCTTTCTAAGCAGAAAAGCAAAGGCGGATACCATAAAGAAAGAAATAGTGAATTTGAAGACATCTATTTTTACTTAATAAATATTCTTGAACACTTACTACATGCTAGTAATAAACTAGGGCTGGGTGTACTGTGTAAGAGAAAGAGACATGGCCCCCACCATCAGGGGGAGAAAGTCTAGGAGAGACAGAATAAATAATTACAAATTAACCCAAAAAAGTTTTAGCCATCATTTGGCTGGAACCGCCATCTTCCAGTAATTTGCAAAACGGCCAACACAAAGGGAAAGAGGAGAGGCACCTACTATATGTTGTCTAGGCCTTTTAGAAAACATGGAGCTGTTCCTTCGGCTACATACATGCGAATCTACAAGAAAGGTGATATTGTAGACATCAAGAGAGTGGCCACTGTTCAAAAAGGAATGCCCCACAATGCTACCATGGCAAAACTGAAAGAGTCTACAGTGTCACCCAGCACGCTGCTGGCACTGTTGTAAACAAACAAGTTAAGGGCAAGATTCTTGCCAAGAGAATTAATGTACATACTGAGCATATTAATCGCTCTAAAAGCCGAGATAGCTTCCTGAAACGAGTGAAGGAAAATGATCAGAAAAAGAAGGAAGCCAAAGAGAAAGGTACTTGGGTTCAGCTGAAGCATCCGCCTGCTCCGCCCAGAGAAGCATACTTTGTGAGAACCAATGGAAAGGAGCCTGAGCTGCTGGAACCCATTCCCTATGAATTCATGGCATGATAGGTGAAAAAAAATACAAGACCTCTGGACTGTTAAAAAAAAAAGTTTGAGCTGTCCTCAACCCCTCTTTCTCTCACATCCCACATCAAATCAGAAAATCTACTAAGAGCTACTTTCAAAATACATCCAGAAGCCAACTACTTCTCACCACCTCCACCGCTGCCACCCTCCTTTCTCCACTGGATTCTTCCACTGGACTCCTCCACTAGCCTGCTGGGGGGTCTCCCCACCCCACCAAGTCTGTTCTCCATGCAGGAATGGGAGGGATCCTGTACCACTCAAGCCACATCACGTCACTCCTCCACTCTAAGTCCTGCCTTTCACGCGGAGTGAAAGCTAAATTCCTTGTGACAGCCTTACAAAGCCCTATATCCTCAACTCCTCCACCTACTCCATTCCTTCACCGCTCTTACCTCGCTCTGCTCTAGCCACTCTGGCATCCTCCCACTCGAACAAGCCAGGCATATTTCTATCTTAAGGCCTTTCCCCCAGCTGTGCCTCTGCCAAGAACTCCCTTCACCCATATATCCACCTGGCCTAAGTCCTCACCTCTTGCAAGTGCTGGCTCAAATGAGCTTGATCACTCTACTTAACATTACAGCTCTCCACCCAACTCCACCCCAACTACTCCTGATCTCTCCCAGCCCATGTTCTACTTCTCCTTTCTTCCCCAGCTCTTATCACTGCTATTACACTATACAATTTACTTATCATCTTTATTACCTATTGTGTATCTCACCTGATGACAATGTAAACTCCACGAGGAAAGAAGTCTACCTTGGTTTTGTTAACTGACATGTCCCAAGACTCTGGTACACAACTGGAGCTCAACAAATATATGTTGAAGGAATGAAGGAATTTATCAGATAAGTAAGATTTATAAGCCTGACAACACCCAGCAGTTGTACATAGCTGGTGGGAAAATAAACTGAATAAGTCTTCTAGAGGGTAATTCATCAATATATATTTAAATAACTTATTACTTTTAAATATTTAAAGTCTTTAAAATGTTCAGCCATTTCATTAAGTAATTTCACTTCCAAGTACACAGCCTAAAAAAAGAATCAGAGGTGCACACAGGTTTATCTCTAAGGTGGGATTTCACATAGCCGTTACAAAGTATACACATCTATATCTACTACAGTAACACATTTAAACAAAAAGTCAGTGTGTGTGTATATTAAAACAAGTCTTCTTAACCAGAGATTTAAATACAATTCCTCCTCAAAGTACAGCATCTTCAGATGCCCATCTTGGTAGAACTTATGGAACAGAGCACACCCATTCAGTATTCTCTTTTTTTTTTTTAATAACTTTATTTTTTTTTCCCCCAAAGCCCCAGTAGATAGTTGTATGTCATAGCTGCACATCCTTCTAGTTGCTGTATGTGGGACCCGGCCTCAGCATGGCCGGAGAAGCGGTGCGTCGGTGCGCGCCCGGGAACGAACCCGGGCCGCCAGCAGCAGAGCGCGCACACTCAACCACTAAGTCACGGGGCCAGCCCCCCATTCAGTATTCTTAATCTGTTCTACAATTTAAAGCCCAAACAGAACAATGGCTGATCTGTACTTATTACCAGTTATTACTGAACTTTTCAGAAAATTGTTATCTTGTTAAGGGTAGATCGCACCATTCACTCACATGACGTCCAGCACAGAATCATTCCGAATGACCTTATGGGAGACATCAGCTAGCAAAAAAAGACCTCCATCCGTCCTCCGGATGCTAGCTGCGTAGCCTGGCCAGATCTGCAATCTGAAGAGATAGATGGGCTTTACCTTAAGGTTCTAAAAGGACCCCAGATACTTCCACGCCCTCACTTGAAACAATACTTTGAGCAGATACTGCCCCTCCCTAATAAGAATGAGAAAGTGCGAAGAAACAAATTAAATTAAATCAACATCATTGTGAACTTACTTAAAAAACTAAACTATGGAAGAGACTTAACTGATAAATTGTATCCACTATCCTAAAACACTGCTGAGAGATTTTTGTCCTAGATATGGTGATTGCAATGAAAAATTTCTTTCCAGAACATTCAAAAGTGAGAAAGAGGAAAACACCACCAACCTGTGTTGCTGTAGTACCATAGCACTTGTAGGGTCATAAAAGTTTCTCCCCACAAGCTTCATATCTAAAAGTTTCATTACCCTGAAATAAAGAGCAAGAATGGGTTTTCCAGTAGAAGAATCAAAAAAATTAAGCTCCATTACTCTTAGCTACATTTCCCCCTGGAAGCTTAAAGGGTCAGAAACGTTGGTGATCTTTGCACAACACAGCTTTTATGCTGAGAACACTCTTTCCAAAAGAAAAATAAAAACTACCAAAGCATTTATCTTGGGGTATAAGCAACTGACAGCAGCTTTTCCAACTTACTAGGTAACCAAAAGTCAAGTCGATTTCCCAGGTTCAATTTACATTACTTTTCACCATTAACTAAACGAACACAAGAGAGTCAATTTCTAAGTCTGTGAATATCAGTCTGGCATAGGAAGTTGTTTGTTCCTGGCAGTTCACCCTACCAGGTAGAAATTAGGTTCTGTGTTTCATTAAAAAAGAGGTGGTTTGGGAATAAAAGTTCTAAGCAAACTAAGGAGTCTTAAAAAAAAAGTTAAAAAAAATTATGAGCTATCTGTATCCAAAAATTCAAGGTGGGGAGGAGGGGCCGGCCTGGCGGCACAGTGGTTAAGTTCGTGCACTACGCTTTGGCAGCTCAGGGTTCACAGGTTGGAATCCTGGGTACGGACCAACGCACTGCTCATCAAGCCATGCTGTGACAGTGTCCCACATACAAAAAATAAAGGAAGATGGGCAGGGATGTTAGCTCAGAGCCAATCTTCCTCAGCAAAGAAGGTTGGCAACAGATATTAGCTCGGGGCCCATAATCCTCACCACGCCAAAAAAAAAAAAAAACTCAAGGGACTAGGAAAAAACTCTTCCAGCAAAATTTTTTGCACACTATCTCCTCAAGTAGCCCCATCACTAACACCATTAAATATGCACAATAAAAATCTGCTATTAAAGTTCCTGAATGAATCCAAAGGAACCCATCCCCCATCCAGCTACCTCAAACCTACTTTCATATACCCGAATCTGACCAATCACTTGAAATAATTTTTGAGTAAGTTAGCCTTAATATCACTCATTTATAAATGTTTCCAAACTCACTACATATGCGCTACAGGACAACACCATCCAAGTTTCTTGAAGAGCATTGTTACAAGTACAAGATAGGTTAAAGAAAATAAGACTTCAGCTATTTTCTCACCGACGGAAAACAACATTGTAGAAGGGAATGCACAAGTCAGAACAGGGCTCCAGGATCTTTGTCAACTGAATCTTAATGCTGATCTCCGCACCATCAGTTTTTCTTTGACTTTTTAACTCAAGAACCTTCAAATAAATATATGCAAGTAAAAAGAAATGACAAAACTACCAAGCCCTCATCTAATCCAGCAGTGTTCTAGAGAATACTAAAATATCTTAAAACACGTTTCGTACTGCCCCCTCACTTTGCCGCTAGACAAAATACAGCATGACAACTAGGATTTAAGAAAGGATATGGTAAGAGAAACCCAATGGAGAACTAGCAATAGATCCGAATTTGAATTTGAAATATTAAACCATTCTCTGACTGAGGTCAAAGGCTTCTAACCACCCCTCTTATGGAGGAGGGAACTTCTTGAAGAACTCAAATATCAAAGCTTCTCAGTTTGTCATTTCTTTGTCAGGGAGAAGTCTGCCTTCCCTCTAAGAATAGGCAAATACAACTCAAATGTTCAGGGAGTCCATGATTTCCCACCACTCAAAGTACCAGAACACTCAGGTTTCTGCCCAAAGTACATTTCCTATTTGGTCTCACTTGTTGAAGCTTAATAGGCAGATAGAGAATGGATCCATCAAAAGCAGTGACGTTTCCGGTGACAGCTTGATGGTCCTTCAACATGCCAAACCTCATGCTTTTGCACTCCACATTGGGGCTACAAAATAAAAGAGAGGATTTTACTTCAATTTGACTCAAATAGCAGTCTTGACTACAGCTGTGCAATAGCACTGTTAGAGGAGCAGTCACGTGTAACTACTGCTCCATCTAGTGGTCATATTAAAAAACACAAATACATCTGACTGAAAAAACAACTTGGACCCAATCAGGCATACTTGCCCACAGAAAATAAACACCCACTGATTCCATCACCCAAAGACAACTGCCTTAACATGTCAGTGTACATTCTTCCAGAGTTTAGACAAGAGGTCTTCTGTAAAGAGTGGGATAGTAAACATTTTAGGCTTTACAGGCCATATAGTCTCTGTTACAACTACCCGACTCTGCCAACATCACACAAAAGCACTACAGTGTTTAAACCAATGAGCACGGCTATATTCCAGCAAAACTTTATTACAAAACGGGCGGTGGGCCAGATTTGACCTGTGGGCCACCACAATATGCCAATCCCTGCTCTAGAGTCTGCAGAGATACACAATTTTTAAAAAACATTTTTTAAAAAATAGGATTTTAGGGGCCGGCCCGGTGGCATAGTGGTTAAGTTCGTGCACTCCGCTTCGGTGGCCTGGGGTTCTCAGGTTCGGATCCCTGGCGTGCACCGACGCACCGCTTCTCAAGCCATGCTGTGGCAGCATCTCATATAAAGTAGAGGAAGATGAGCATAATGTTAGCCCAGGGCCAATCTTCCTCAGCAAAAAGAGGAGGATTGGCAATGGATGTTAGCTCAGGGCTGGTCTTCCTCACACACAAAAAATAGGATTTTACTCTAACCTCTTTTCACTCATGGCAATTTCAACTTTTTATTGATTCATTGGAATAAATCTTACAGCTCTGAAAAACTCCAGTAGCTACTTTATACAATGACTGTCCCCATTACAGCA